TGAGAATGATTCCTGACTTTGTGGTACCCAGCAGTTGTGTGTGATCAGAGCTGCGAATTTATGGAAGGCTCTGGGACGTTCTGGAGGATCAGGAAGCAGTGAACCTGGTCATCGAGGGCATAGGTCTGGCCATAATGTTTGGCCGAGAAACAAAGCAACACAGACGGTGCAGGATGGGAGATGATTGAAAGAGCAAAAGACTCATATTTTGTGCTGTGCAGAGAATAAGATGAACACTTGATAAACATTGATGATTGTGGCATATTGTGGCCACATTGGTCGACAAAGACCTGAGCCACGGCCTGTTGGCACGGCGCCAGAACAGTTGGGCATCCTTTGCGAAGAGAGCCTGGGGCCCTGGGCTCCTGGGGGTCCTGGGGCCTCAAAATCGGGCGTATCTGAACTGCAGTGGTTTACAGTAGAACGGTTTAGAAGTCATTCTCCCTTTTCAAACTACAGAAACGGCCGCAAACATTGGGGTACACATATAGAAGTAATATATATATATTATATGATTATTATGATTATCTGTACATATATATATATATATTACATTATATAAACATATATATATATATATGCAATGGGTATACTATATACCCCATCTCTGGACAAACATGCAATGGTGACATGACTCCCAAGGTGCTGGCCATCCAATGCTGGGGCAGGTTGTGGCCAGCATCTTATCGCTTCGATGTTTCACATGGCTATGTCCAAAATGGGACCTACCCTCACGTGGAAAGTTTGGTTGGGAAAAAACGATGATACGCCACCGGATTTTGGAGTATCCTATGTTCAGACCCACATCACAGAAGTTAGAATTCGACTTTGAAACGCAATTCCCATGCTTTTGATATTCTTTGCGCAGCTCGTTTGGTGCAATCTCCAAGGCTCGATTGCTCATTGAGGAAGCCTTGGCCCGTGGAACGTCGGACAACGTGACCTGTGTCGTGGCGGACAGCTCAGCGTCACAGCATGGCAGGGTCAAAGCTGGATACAAAATACGGTGGTAACACAAAAAATGACCCCAGACCAACACTTGTGGTTCTACTCGCATGCCGAGGTGTTCCCATAAGGCATGTGACCTGGCTGCAACAGCGCACAAACCTTGTCACTACAGGAACTTGATCTTTGAAGGCGCAAGAGGATACTCAAAGTGTACAAACTTTGCCTTCTTATGCCGGCGCTTGAGACATGTCATCCCAAGAAAGAAGCTTCCAGGGTGTTTGCACTGGCCGCAATACATCCGAAAGAATCTGAATGTCCATGGTGTTGTGCAACCACAGTCAGCTCTTGAGTCAGTCTTCCCATGTGTGTTTTATCGATTTTTCTTCCGTAGACTATGTGCAAAAGATGTTTCTCAGGTTATACATATATATATATATGCACAGAATATAGATGGTTTCCAGGATGTGGGTACCCAACTGAGGCTGATGAACCGTCCAAGCTGCGCTTCCCATAGCCTCGCTGGAAAAAAGATGGCAGCTGTGCAAGTCTTTGTCCATGAAACAACACTTTCAGCGTGTAAGGAACGGATTTGCTAGCTCCTTTGCATGGTACTCGTAATGCTGTGCACGAATGGGTGTTCAATCCACATGTAAGAATCTATATCAATGACAAGCACATCTATAGTACTGACAGTTACCTCAACATCATTGATAGCAACCTGGCAAAAAGCTCGATAATGTTATTCGTTCTTGCAAATCACAGGAAATGATCGATTTTTGATCTTTTTAGTGGAATAAACCATCTACCAACTGTGAATTATGCATTTTTTACGTACTTTTTACGCTTTGTATGCCTTTTCTTCTCCTTTTTTCCTTTCCAATGAAAATGTCAAGCTTTTTTTACGCATTTTTTACGTACTTTTTACGTTTTTTACGCCTTTTACGCCTTTTCTTCTCCTTTTTTCCTTTCCAATGAAAGTGTCAAGCTTTTTTTACGCATTTTTTACGTACTTTTTACGCTTTTTACGCCCTTTCTTCTCCTTTTTTCCTTTCCAATGAAAGTGTCAAGGTATGTCAAGCTTTTTTTACGCATTTTTTACGTACTTTTTACGCTTTGTACGGCGTTTTCTTCTCTTTTTTTCCTTTCCAATGAAAGTGTCAAGCTATGTCAAGCTTTTTTTACGCATTTTTTACGTACTTTTTACGCTTTTTACGCCCTTTTCTTCTCCTTTTTTCCTTTCCAATGAAAGTGTCAAGCTATGTCAAGCTTTTTTTACGCATTTTTTACGTACTTTTTACGCTTTTTACGCCCTTTTCTTCTCCTTTTTTCCTTTCCAATGAAAGTGTCAAGCTATGTCAAGCTTTTTTTACGCATTTTTTTACGTACTTTTTACGCTTTTTACGCCTTTTCTTCTCCTTTTTTCCTTTCCAATGAAAGTGTCAAGCTTTTTTTACGCATTTTTTACGTACTTTTTACGCTTTTTACGCCCTTTTCTTCTCCTTTTTTCCTTTCCAATGAAAGTGCCAAGCTTTTTTTACGCATTTTTTACGTACTTTTTACGCTTTTTACGCCCTTTTCTTCTCCTTTTTTCCTTTCCAATGAAAGTGTCAAGCTTTTTTTACGCATTTTTTACTTACTTTTTACGCTTTTTACGCCCTTTCTTCTCCTTTTTTCCTTTCCGATGAAAGTGTCAAGCTTTTTTTACGCATTTTTTTACGTACTTTTTACGCTTTTTACGCCCTTTCTTCTCCTTTTTTCCTTTCCAATGAAAGTGTCAAGCTTTTTTTACGCATTTTTTATGTACTTTTTACGTTTTTTACGCCCTTTTCTTCTCCTTTTTTCCTTTCCAATGAAAGTTTCAAGCTTTTTTTACGCATTTATTACGTACTTTTTACGCTTTTTACGCCCTTTTCTTCTCCTTTTTTCCTTTCCAATGAAAGTGTCTAGCTTTTTTTACGCATTTTTTATTATTTCAACCAGTGTCCTCTATCAGTGTTGACACCGGCAGTAGACGTTGTCCTCAATGTTGTGAAAATTTCCTTATGTAAGAAGTGATGTTGTAGTTCATGTTCTAAAGCAGGGCTCATGGAGTAAATGACGTTGCAACTGACGTTTTAGTCAAGATAAACACATAATTTTGAAGAACCAGTAGCCCAAAGTAAGACCAATGTATAACAATATATAATTATACGATGTAAGAATTTTCACGTGGGGATCAAAACCATTCTTCTGAGGCACCACCTGCGTCAGAATGCCAGTCGTCGTTGTCGTCGTCGTCGTCGTTGTTAAATGTTAATAAATAGTTAATTATAGTTAATTATAGTTAATTATAGTTAATTATAGTTAATCATAGTTAATTATAGTTAATTATAGTTAATTATAGTTAATTATAGTTAATTATTTTTGTTAATTTTTGACGACGACGACGACGACGACGACGCCGACGCCGACGCCGACGCCGACGACGGCGACGACGACGACTTAGAAATTGACCGGATCAGACCAAAACAAAGAACACCAAACAAAACTCATATAAATATATATTCAAGCGCGTTTGTGTTCTCAAATGTGTACACCAGGAAGATCAGCCACACTGTAAAAATAATGTGTATAACTATATATATTATATTATGTATAAGAAAAATGCATACTAATACTATATACTACATAAAATATGACTTAATTATACTTAATTATATTAATAGCATTATATATATTATATGAAATATCAACCAGTGACCAATGTCCCCTATATCCAGGCCTCAAAATGTACCCAGGGTCAAGACAAAACATCAACTAAAACGTCAAATTTTACATGTAACATTATCATGAGGTATAATTCCCCAAATCAAAACGTCAAAACGAACATAGTTCGGACATAGTTCGGAACCAACCTTGTACGGACACGTCCCTGGGAACACAGAAGCCTGGATATAGAGGACACTGGTTGAAATAATTTTTTTACGTACTTTTTACGCTTTTTACGCCCTTTCTTCTCCTTTTTTCCTTTCCAATGAAAGTGTCAAGCTTTTTTTACGCATTTTTTACGTACTTTTTTCGCTTTTTACGCTCTTTTCTTCTCCTTTTTTCCTTTCCAATGAAAGTGTCAAGCTTTTTTTACGCATTTTTTACGTACTTTTTACACTTTTTACGCCCTTTCCTTCTCCTTTTTTCCTTTCCAATGAAAGTGTCAAGCTTTTTTTACGCATTTTTTTACGTACTTTTTATGCTTTTTACGCCCTTTCTTCTCCTTTTTTCCTTTCCAATGAAAGTGTCAAGCTTTTTTTACGCATTTATTACGTACTTTTTACGCTTTTTACGCCTTTTCTTCTCCTTTTTTCCTTTCCAATGAAAGTGTCAAGCTTTTTTTTACGCATTTTTTACGTACTTTTTACGTTTTTTACGCCTTTTCTTCTCCTTTTTTCCTTTCCAATGAAAGTGTCAAGCTTTTTTTACGCATTTTTTACGTACTTTTTACGCTTTTTACGCCCTTTTCTTCTCCTTTTTTCCTTTCCAATGAAAGTGTCTAGGTGTTTTTACGCATTTTTTACGTCCTTTTGCTTTTTAAGCCCGTTCTTTCCTTTTCTCACTTCCAATGAAAGTGTCAAGCTTTAGTTTTTTTTTTACCCGGGGGGGGCATTTTTTACGTACTTTTTACGCTTTTTACGCCCTTTTCTTCTCCTTTTTTCCTTTCCAATGAAAGTGTCAAGCTTTTTTTACGCATTTTTTACGTACTTTTTACGCTTTTTACGCCCTTTCTTCTCCTTTTTTCCTTTCCAATGAAAGTGTCAAGCTTTTTTTACGCATTTTTTACGTACTTTTTACGCTTTTTACGCCCTTTCTTCTCCTTTTTTCCTTTCCAATGAAAGTGTCTAGCTTTTTTACGCATTTTTTACGTACTTTTTACGCTTTTTACGCCCTTTTCTCCTTTTTTCCTTTCCAATGAAAGTGCCAAGCTTTTTTTACGCATTTTTTACGTACTTTTTACGCTTTTTACGCCCTTTTCTTCTTTTTTCCTTTCCAATGAAAGTGTCAAGCTTTTTTTACGTACTTTTTACGCTTTTTACGCCTTTTCTTCTCCTTTTTTCCTTTCCAATGAAAGTGTCAAGCTTTTTTTACGCATTTTTTACGTACTTTTTACGCTTTTTACGCCCTTTCTTCTCCTTTTTTCCTTTCCAATGAAAGTGTCAAGCTTTTTTTACGCGTTTTTTTACGTACTTTTTACGCTTTTTACGCCCTTTTCTTCTCCTTTTTTCCTTTCCAATGAAAGTGTCAAGCTTTTTTTGCGCATTTTTTACGTACTTTTTACGTTTTTTACGCCTTTTCTTCTCCTTTTTTCCTTTCCAAAGCTTTTTTTACGCATTTTTTACGTACTTTTTACGCTTTTTACGCCCTTTTCTTCTCCTTTTTTCCTTTCCAATGAAAGTGTCAAGCTTTTTTTACGCATTTTTTTACGTACTTTTTACGCTTTTTACGCCCTTTTCTTCTCCTTTTTTCCTTTCCAATGAAAGTGTCAAGCTTTTTTTACGCAGTTTTTACGTACTTTTTACGCTTTTTACGCCCTTTTCTTCTCCTTTTTTCCTTTCCAATGAAAGTGTCAAGGTTTTTTTACGCATTTTTTTACGTACTTTTTACGCTTTTTACGCCTTTTCTTCTCCTTTTTTCCTTTCCAATGAAAGTGTCTAGCTTTTTTTACGCCTTTTTTACGTACTTTTTACGCTTTTTACGCCCTTTCTTTTCCTTTTTTCCTTTCCAATGAAAGTGTCAAGCTTTTTTTACGCATTTTTTACGTACTTTTTACGCTTTTTACGCCCTTTCTTCTCCTTTTTTCCTTTCCAATGAAAGTGTCAAGCTTTTTTTACGCATTTTTTACGTACTTTTTACGCTTTTTACGCCCTTTTCTTCTCCTTTTTCCCTTTCCAATGAAAGTGTCAAGCTTTTCGTACGCATTTTTTACGTACTTTTTACGCTTTTTACGCCCTTTTCTTCTCCTTTTTTCCTTTCCAATGAAAGTGTCAAGCATTTTTTACGCATTTTTTACGTACTTTTTACGCTTTTTACGCCTTTTCTTCTCCTTTTTTCCTTTCCAATGAAAGTGTCAAGTTTTTTTTACGCACTTTTTACGTACTTTTTACGCTTTTTACGCCCTTTTCTTCTCCTTTTTTCCTTTCCAATGAAAGTGTCAAGTTTTTTTTACGCATTTTTTACGTACTTTTTACGCTTTTTACGCCTTTTCTTCTCCTTTTTTCCTTTCCAATGAAAGTGTCAAGCTTTTTTTACGCATTTTTTACGTACTTTTTACGCTTTTTACGCCCTTCCCATGAAAGTGTCAAGCTTTTTTTGCGCATTTTTTACGTACTTTTTACGTTTTTTACGCCTTTTCTTCTCCTTTTTTCCTTTCCAATGAAAGTGTCAAGCTTTTTTTACGCATTTTTTACGTACTTTTTACGCTTTTTACGCCAGCCAGCCAGCCATATTTTGCCAAGTTTTGTGCCAATCTTGGAAGCCGGATATCCATTTCGAAGCTCCTGAGACAAAAAAAGGAGAAAACGCCAGGAAAGACAGATTTTTTTCATCGTGCCCACGCTCCGTGTTTCGTTGTGGATATCATGTTTTCTTTTCAAAGATATAATTTGTCATGTTGTGGATTTTGACTCATCTTTCGTGGTTAGAGTTTCAGACTCAATATCGTGGATATGACCCCTCCTCTTGGTTCGTCTAGCAAGTTCACTACACCCCCGTGAATGTGATGATGAACCGTATGATATAATATATGACATATATATATATATATATATTATAAATATATACACATACATACTGTGTATATAAATATATATGTGTGTTTTCCACTAATCCAATAGTTCGCAACTGCTATTTGTTGCCTCTCTGTAACCGATCAGTGGCGTTGCAGCGTTGCTGGTGCCGAGCGAGGACGGCGGCTGTAATCACATGACTTGCGCATTCTGTGGCGCGGACTTCTGCTGGTTGTGTGGTCGTCATCTCACAGGCCCGCCATGGCAGCCATGGGCCTGGTTGCTGCCAGGAATTCTGCCAGATTTCGCCAAAGATGGAACTTTTGCAAAAAAAAAGGAGATTTGTTTAACTGTGTAATTTACGAGATATTGCCCATGAATTTTTGATGACCAGATTAACCAGATTAACCAGATTAGATGTTGTAGATGGTGAACAAAGGGAAACCTTTACCAAATCATGGCTGAACACATCAGATTTGGGATCATAATTTGTCCACAATCATGGAGATATTGCCATGGCCAAGAAGTAGTGAGGGCACCAAAATGAACACAGAATTCAGGAAAGCTTTGAAGTCACCAATACTCAAGGGGCATTATTCGAAGACATGGAATATAACATAATACTGGGGTGGCAATTAACATGTTTGTTGACGTTCATTACACGAGATATTCCCAGAGTTTTTGGTTGGGCACCAGTTTGTTCTTGTGTGAACCCATATCTCTGAATATGTCCGTTTCTTAATCCTTGTGTCCTTGAATGGCCTCTACATCTTGGGATATTTTTGGTTGTTAGATCCTTGGGTAAACCCCGGTTTTGGTAGATCAATTGTTTTTTATTGTTTTTTTTGGCCATGATGAACCAACTTCATCCGAGAAGTTTCAAATCTGTTCGTATCTACCCTCTGGTAATTTAACATAGCTATGGAAAATCACCATTTTTAATGGGAAAATCCACTATAAATGGCCATTTTCAATAGCTACGTTAAATTACCAGAGGGTAATATCTAAGATTTGCCATGATCCATAGGGTTCCCCAACCCATCTGCCGCGAGTGCAGCGAGGCGAGTCGGCAGTGCAGCGCCACTATGCCAGTTGGAACCTTTGTGGCTGTCCCGGGATGCAGATGCGGGAGCCGGGCAGGATGATGGGGGGTTAAGAAGGACCAATTAACAGCGATTGACATAGCAACATTAATATTAATAGAATGGGCTAGCGCCCTGGTGCCGCCGACCCCCCTATTGGGGGTGGTCCGGTAGAGAGAGAGAGAGAGAGATCATTGCGCTTAGAATTGTGATAGCTACAGGAAAGGTCTGCCGCGGCCTGAGTGGCGCCTGGGAGCTGCAGGGAAGGGTTTGGGGAGTTTTGAGGGCTGGCAAACGGCAGCCTTGAACGTCCATAAAAAGACGCTGCCACGGCCTCAGGGACTTGTTGGAGCTGCAGGAAAGGTCTGCCGCGGCCTGAGTGGCGCCTGGGAGCTGCAGGGGAGGGCTTGAGAGTTTTGAAGGCTGGCAAACGGCAGCCTTGAACCGCCTTAAAAGGACACTGCCACGGCCTCAGGGACTTGTTGGAGCTGCAGGAAAGGTCTGCCGCGGCCTAAGTGGCGCCTGGGAGCTGCAGGGGAGGGTTTGGGGAGTTTTGAGGGCTGGCAAACGGCAGCCTTGAACGTCCATAAAAAGGTGCTGCCACGGCCTCAGGGACTTGTTAGAGCTGCAGGAAAGGCCTGCCGCGGCCTGAGTGGCGCCTGGGAGCTGCAGGAGGGTTTGGGGAGTTTTGAGGGCTGGCAACCTTAAAAGGACACTGCCACGGCCTCAGGGACTTGTTGGAGCTGCAGGAAAGGTCTGCCGCGGCCTGAGTGGCGCCTGGGAGCTGCAGGGGAGGGTTTTGGGAGTTTTGAGGGCTCAGCCTTGAACGTCCATAAAAAGACGCTGCCACGGCCTCAGGGACTTGTTAGAGCTGCAGGAAAGGTCTGCCGCGGCCTGAGTGGCGTTTGGGAGCTGCAGGGGAGGGTTTGGGGAGTTTTGAGGGCTGGCAAACGGCAGCCTTGAACCTCCTTACAAGGACACTGCCACGGCCTCAGGGACTTGTTGGAGCTGCAGGAAAGGTCTGCCGCGGCCTAAGTGGCGCCTGGGAGCTGCAGGGGAGGGTTTGTGGAGTTTTGGCGAGTTTTGAAGGCTGGCAAACGGCAGCCTTGAACCTCTTTACTGCCACGGCCTCAGGGACTTGTTGGAACTGCACAGGGTCTGCCGCGGCCTGTTGCGTTTCGCCGTAGAAACAGAGATTGCTGTGGCATGAGTGGCTCGTGGGAAGTGCACAGAAATTGCTGTGGCCTGAGTGGCTCCTGGGCGGTGAACAGAGGGTGCTATGGCCTGGGTGGCTCGTGGAAAGTGCAAAGCATTGGGAACGAAAAAAAGTTCCACACCTGCGGTGGTCCCAGGCGCCGCCCCTGCCTTGGCTAAGGCAGGGGTCGGCGGATATGTATAATGTATTGTGTCTAGAGACTTCCAGTCACTTGGTGATTTTGTATTCTCAACAGAGACCTCCATGATTTGCTGGGTTGAGAACTAGTTGAGAACCGGTCGGTGTACAAGCAACCAAGCTGAATAATCTGAATAGGTCACTGGAGCTGCTGTTGAGAGGTTTCTTCTCCCTCCAGCCATCTGAGGATCACTTGTCAAGGCCTTGCTGGTTTGCCAGGAGGCAATTCGGTAGGCTCTGCGTTGAAGAAAGGAAGCTCATCGAAAGTAGAAGTAGAAGGAGGCACATATCCTTATTCACACCGCAAGAGATGAACAGCGAACAGAATTTATTCAAGCCTTCAGCATCAAGCTAGGTCAAGTTTGTCTTTTTTTGCACATGTCATGTTGTTCTAAGACACTGGAAGTCTGAAGCCTTGAGGAAGATTGATTGAGAACAAGTGCCTCGACTGGACAGGAATTGGATTGCGACCTGCACACCATTATAAAATGTTAAGAAAGGGTTTAAGAACAAAGAAATCAGAAACCTCAGAAAACTGTTGTCACATTTCACTTGATTTGCCCAGACATCCTCACCATCCTCAAACTTGTCGAAGACGCCTAGGATCTTTGGCTCCAAAGGCTGTTTGTTCTACAGTGGTGATGACGCAGAGCCCAGCTCTGGGCAACTGGAGGTGCTTTGCCACGACGGCTTCAATGAGTCAGTGCCTGACTTTCACTTCGAGAACACCACGAATCTGGAAATGAAAGAGCATGATATTCGACAAGTGTTATCAATTGTTCACTTCATGGAAAGTATGATCTTCATAACATTTGTGACATTTGGCAATGAGGCTCACATGGCATTTTGCCAATTGTAGTGGGTGATGATGATGATGATGATGATGAAAGGCAGTTTTTTCTTTCAAATATATGGCTTCAGAATCTGGAAGCCGCATTTTAGGATTAACATGGACTAACCATGATTAACCATCCAATTTTATCCATTTTAGGAGTACCATGAAGTACCTAGTTGTGACCCATACCCATCATTTCCGATCTGAATCAGATGTTTTCGCTTTGAACTTAAAAATATCGATGGTGGATGTATTTGGTATTATATTATAGTTGTATTGTATATATATAATTATTAGTTTTATGACGAAAGCCAGCCGATAGGCTAGGCAAAGTTGTTTTCGCAAAGTGAGTATAGGGGGTGTGGGGGGGGAGGTTGCCCAGGTGAACCGAAATCTCGATATCGGGTGGTGATAAGGGTGGCCAATTGGAATTTTTTAGGGGGCATGTACCACTAGGCAATTTGGTGACGGTGGGGTTCGATTCTCCCTAGGTCCCCTGAAAACGGAAGGAAAAAGGTAAGAAAAAAACAAAGGAAAATGCAGGAAAATCGTTAGAAACAGGGGGAAAATGGGGGAAAATTGAGGAAAATCGTGAAAACACATTAAACTGAAGGAAAAAATGAATGGCAAGCTTGGAAAAACCAAGGAAATCGAGGAAACCGTTGGGAAAATGAGGAAATTGCAGGAAGGAAACTCTGGAAAAACCGTAGGAGCGCAGAAAAAGGTTTGAAAAAAAGGCATGAAATGGAGGCAAGGCAAAGCTTTGAAAAAGTTAGGAACATAGAGGCAAGCATATTGAAAAAAACTAAGGATCCGAACCTCAACGGAGAGCAGCGTCCGTTGGGGTTCGGAGCAAGACGGTTTGCAAGGGGACGAGGAGTGATGCCGAGGAAGGAGTGGCGAAGGGTTGCAAAAAATGGAGGAAAATGGAGGAAAATGTTGAAAAAAACATGAAAATGAAGGAAACAATAAATGGCAAGCTTGGAAAAACCAAGGAAAATTGAGGAAACCGCTGGGAAAATGAGGAAATTGAAGGAAGGAAACTCTTGAAAAACCGTAGGAAAACGCAGGAAAAGGTTTGAAAAAAAGGCATGAAATGGAGGAAAGGCAAAGCAAAAAACTAGGAACATAGAGGCAAGCATATTGAAAAAACTAAGGGTCCGAAGCTCAACGGAGAGCAGCGTCCGTTGGGGTTCGGAGCAAGACAGTTTGCAAGGGGATTAGGAGTGATACCGAGGAAGGAGTGGCGAAGGGTTGCAAAGCAAGGACTAGTGTGAAAAAAAAGGAACATGCAGGCACCTTTCAGACGGCAAACTTGGATCATAGCCTAGGCTACCGCGACATTTCTTTGCAGAGCCAAAAAGATTCCGGCTACGGGCTGGCTTTCGTCCCCCCTTCTCAGGTTTAATTATTGGCTTATGTTACTTATGTTGGATCAATGATCAATGGTGATTCACGATGATACTCGCCAATCATCATCAATCCACCATGATCCATCCATTTCCATAAATCATTGATTACCCATTGAACAGTCAATAGTATGGTTACCTATTGTCATCTCAACGTGTCACGTGTCCACGGGATTTGGGCGTGAGCCCAGGAAGGAAGGACTGGGCCCCGAATCCTTGCGGAGCTTCCTGGATGCCTGTCGTGGGGAGCTGGTGGTGAACCCAGCTGAATCCTGGCAGATTCGGAGTCCTCAGATGGTCAATCCTGGTTGATCCCGGTTGATCCTGGTTGGTCTTGGTTGATCCCGGTTGATCTTGGTTGATCCTGGTTGATCCTGGTTGATCCTGGTCGATCCCAGTTCTGGTTGATCCCAGTTGCTCCCGGTTGATCCCGGTTGGTTTCAGGCTGATCCTGGTTGATCCTGGTTGATCCTCGTTGAACCTGGTTGATCCAGGTTGATCCTGGTTGATCCTGGTTGACCCCGGTTGATCTCGGTTTATCCCGGTTTGTCCTGGTTGATCCCGGTTGATCCTGGTTGATCCCGGTTTATCCCAGTTGATCCCGGTTGATCTCGGTTGATCCTGGTTGATCCTGCTTGATCCTGGTTGATCCCGGTTGATCCCGGTTGATCCTGGCTGACCCCGGTTGTTCCCGGTTGATCCTGGTTGATCCAGGTTGATCGCGGTTGATCCCGGTTGATCCCGGTTGATCCCGGTTGATCCTTGATCCTGGTTGATCCTGGTTGATCCCGGTTGATCCCGGTTCATCCAGGTTGATCCCGGTTGATCCCGGTTGATCCTGGTTGATCCCGGTTGATCCCGGTTGATCCTGGTTGATCCTGGTTGATCCTGGTCGACCCTGTTTGATCCCCGTTGATCCCGGTTGATCCTGGTTGATCCCGGTTCCTGGTTGATTCTGGTTGATCCCGGTTGGTCCCGGTTGATCCCGGTTGATCCTGGTTGATCCTGGTTGATCCTGGTTAATCCCGGTTGTTTCCTGGTTGATCCTGGTTGATCCTGGTTGATCCTGGTTGATCCTGGTTGATCCTGGTTGATCCCGGTTGATCCCGGTTGATCCTGGTTGATCCCGGTTGATCCCGGTTGATCCTGGTTGATCCTGGTTGATCCTGGTTGATCCTGGTTGATCCTGGTTGATCCCGGCTTATCCCGGTTTGTCCTGGTTGATCCTGGTTGATCCCGGTTGGTCCCGGTTGATCCCGGTTGATCCTGGTTGATCCTGGTTGATCCTGGTTAATCCCGGTTGTTTCCTGGTTGATCCTGGTTGATCCTGGTTGATCCTGGTTGATCCTGGTTGATCCTGGTTGATCCGCGTTGATCCTGGTTGATCCTGGTTGATCCTGGTTGACCCTGGTTGATCTTGGTTGATCCCGGCTTATCCCGGTTTGTCCTGGTTGATCCTGGTTGCTCCTGGTTGATCCTGGTTGATCCTGATTGATCCTGGTTGATCCCGGTTGATCCAGGTTGATCCCGGTTGATCCTGGTTAATCCTGTTTTGTCCTGGTTGATCCAGGTTCCTGGTTGATCCTGGTTGATCCTGGTTGATCCCGGTTGATCCTGGTTGATCCTGTTGATCCTGGTTGATCCTGGTTGATCCTGGTTGATCCTGGTTGATCCTGGTTGATCCTGGTTGATCCTGGTTAATCCAGGTTGATCACGCTTGATCCCAGTTGATCCTGGTTGATCCTGGTTGATCCTGGTTGATCCTGGTTGATTATCGTTGATCCTGGTTGATCCGCGTTGATCCTGGTTGATCCTGGTTGATTCTGGTTGATCCAGGTTCCAGGTTGATCCAGGTTGATTTAGGTTGATCCTGGTTGATCCCGGTTGATCCCGGTTGATCCCGGTTGATTCTGGTTGTTCCTGGATGCTCCTGGTTGATCCCGGTTGATCCCGGTTGATCCTGGTTGATCCTGGTTGATCCCGGTTGATCCCAGTTGATCCCGATTGATCCTGGTTGATCCTGGCTGATCCTGGTTGATCCCGGTTGATCCTGGTTGGTCTTGGTTGATCCCGGTTGATCCTGGTTGATCCTGGTTGATCCTGGTTGATCCCGGTTGATCCTGGTTGATCCCGGTTGATCCCAGTTGATCCCGGTTAATGTCGGTTGATTCCGGTTGATGCCGGTTGATCCCGGTTGATCCTGGTTGATCCCGGTTGATCCAGGTTGATCCCGGTTGATCCTGGTTGATGCTGGTTGATCCTGGTCGATCCCGGTTGATCCTGCTTCATCCTGGTTGATCCTGGTTGATCCTGGTTGATCCTGGTTGGTCTTGGTTGATCCTGGTTGATCCTGGTTGACCCTGGTTGATCCTGGTTGTCCCGGTTGATCTGGTTGATCCTGGCTGACCCCGGTTGTTCCCGGTTGATCCTGGTTGATCCTGGATGATCGCGGTTGATCCCGGTTGATCCTGGTTGATCCCGGTTGATCCCGGCTGATCCTGGTTGATCCTGGTTGATCCCGGTTCATCCAGGTTGATCCCGGTTGATCCCGGTTGATCCTGGTTGATCCCGGTTGATCCCGGTTGATCCTGGTTGATCCTGGTTGATCCTGGTTGATCCTGGTTGATCCTGGTTGATCCTGGTTGATCCTGGTTGATCCCGATTGATCCTGGTTGATCCTGGCTGATCCCGGTTGATCCTGGTTGATCCTGGTTGATGCCGGTTGATCCTGGTTGATCCTGGTTGATCCTGGTTGATCCTGGTTGATCCCGGTTGATCCTGGTTGATCCCGGTTGATCCTGTTTGATCCTGGTTGAGCATGGTTGATCCCGGTTGATCCCGGTTGATCCCGGTTGGTCTTGGTCGATCCTGGTTGATCCTGGTTGATCCTGGTTGATCCTGGTTGATTATCGTTGATCCTGGTTGATCCTGGTTGATCCGCGTTGATCCTGGTTGATCCTGGTTGATCCTGGTTGACCCTGGTTGATCTTGGTTGATCCTGGTTGATCCAGGTTGGTCCTGGTTGATCCTGTTTGATCCTGGTTGATCCTGGTTGATCCTGATTGATCCTGGTTGATCCCGGTTGATCCAGGTTGATCCCGGTTGATCCTGGTTAATCCTGTTTTGTCCTGGTTGATCCAGGTTCCTGGTTGATCCTGGTTGATCCCGGTTGATCCTGGTTGATCCTGTTGATCCTGGTTGATCCTGGTTGATCCTGGTTGATCCTGGTTCATCCTGGTTGATCCCGGTTGATCTTGGTTGATCCTGGTTGATCCTGGTTGATCCTGGTTGATCCTGGTTGATCCTGGTTGATCCCAGCCTGGTTGATCCCGGTTGATCCTGGTTGATCCCGGTTTTATCCCAGTTGATCCCGGTTGATCTCGGTGATCCTGGTTGATCCTGGTTGATCCTGGTCGATCCTGGTTGATCCCGGTTGATCCTGGTTGAGCCCGGTTGCTCCCGGTTGATCCGGTTTGATTGTGGATGATCCCGGTTGATTTCGGTTGGTCTCGGTTGATCCCGGTTGATCCTGCATGATCCTGGTTGATCCTGGTTGATCCCGGTTGATCCCGGTTGATCCTTGTTCTAGTTGATCCAGGTGGATCCTTGTTCCCAGTTGATCCCGGTTCTGGTTGATCCTGGTTGATCCCGGTTCATCCAGGTTGATCCCGGTTGATCCCGGTTGATCCTTGTTGATCCCGGTTGATCCCGGTTGATCCTGGTTGATCCTGGCTGATCCTGGTTGATTCGGTTGATCCCGCGGCGGTTGATCCCGGTTGCTCCCGGTTGATCCTGTTTGATTCTGGAAGATCCCGGTTGATTTCGGTTGGTCTCGGTTGATCCCGGTTGATCCTGCATGATCCTGGTTGATCCTGTTTGATCCGGGTTGATCTCGGTTGATCCCGGTTGGTTCCAGGCTGATCCTGGCTGATCCTGGTTTATCAGGTTGATCCTGGATGATCCTGGATGATCCTGGTTGATCCCGGTTGATCCTGGTTGATCCTGGAGAGCATGGGCTTGAATAGGTGTTAGTGACCTCTGGCAGCATGAATGTGCACAACTCTGCTTTTTTTTCTCCTCTGTCCCCTTCCCCTTCCCATGCGCGCAGCTGCCATAAGTCAGGATGTGAAGTAAAGTCATGCCATGTCGTGTCATGGATTGAAACCTCAGGAAATGCAATGTGTCTGTAATGTCTGTAATGTATGTCATGTATGTCCTGTATGTCATGTATGTACTGTATGTACTGTCTGTAATGTATGTAATGTATGTAATGTATGTAATGTATGTCATGTATGTCATGTATGTAATGTATGTCATGTATGTCATGTATGTAATGTATGTCATGTCTGTCATGTATTGCCATGCAAGGTCATGTCATGTCATATCCTGTGCTGCCATGTCATGTAGTTGTATGTGCATCAACACATGTAGTGGCAGCGTTATTTTGTGGTCAATGATTCGATGTTTTGGCTATCTCTGGTTGATCCCGGTTGATCGTGGTTGATCCCAGTTGATCCCAGTTGATCCCGGTTAATGTCGGTTGATTCCGGTTGATGCCGGTTGATGCCGGTTGATCCCGGTTGATCCTGGTTGATCCCGGTTGATCCAGGTTGATCCCGGTTGATCCCGGTTGATGCTGGTTGATCCTGGTCGATCCTGGTTGATCCTGCTTCATCCTGGTTGATCCTGGTTGATCCTGGTTGATCCTGGTTGGTCTTGGTTGATCCTGGTTGATCCTGGTTGATCCTGGTTGATCCTGGTTGTCCCGGTTGATCCTGGTTGATCCTGGCTGATCCTGGTTTGTCCTGGTTGATCCTGGTTGATCCTGGTTAATCCTGTTTTGTCCTGGTTGATCCAGTTTCCTGGTTGGTCCTGGTTGATCCTGGTTGATCCCGGTTGATCCCGGTTGATCATGGTTGATCCTGGTTGATCCTTGATTCCGGTTGATCCTGGTTGATCCTGGTTGATCCTGGTTTGTCCTGGTTGATCCCGGTTGATCCTGGTTGATCCCGGTTGATCCCGGTTGATCCTGGTTGATCCTGGCTGATCCCAGTTGATCCTGGTTGAGCCCGGTTGATCCAGGTTGATTCCGGTTGATCCTGGTTGATCCCGGTTGATCCTGGTTGATCCCGGTTGATCCTGGTTGATCCCGGTTGATCCTGGTTGATCCTGGTTGAGCATGGTTGTTCCTGGTTGATCCCGGTTGGTCTTGGTCGATCCTGGTTGATCCCGGTTGATCCCGGTTTGTCCTGGTTGATCCTGGTTGTTCCTGGTTGATCCTGGTTGATCCTGGTTGATCCCGGTTGATCCCGGTTGATCCTGGTTGATCCCGGTTGATCTTGGTTGATCCTGGTTGATCCTGGTTGATCCTGGTCGATCCCGGTTCTGGTTGATCCCAGTTGCTCCCGGTTGGTTCCAGGCTGATCCTGGTTGATCCCGGTTGATCCTCATTGAACCTGGTTGATCCGGGTTGATCCTGGTTGATCCTGGTTGATCCCGGTTGATCCCGGCTTATCCCGGTTTGTCCTGGTTGATCCTGGTTGATCCTGGTTGATCCTGGTTGAGCCCGGTTGATCCTGGTTGATCCCTGTTGATCCCGGTTGATCCTGGTTGATCCTGGTTGATCCCGGTTGATCCTGGTTTCATCCTGGTTGATCCTGGTTGATCCCAGTTTGTCCTGGTTGGTATTGGTTGATTGTGGTTGATCCTAGTTTGTCCTGCTTGATCCCGGTTGATCCTTGTTTTGGTTGATCCAGGTGGATCCGGGTTGATCCTGGCTGATCCCGGTTCTGGTTGATCCTGGTGTTCCGCGTTGATCCCAGTTGATCCCTGTTGATCCCACTTGATCCTGTTTGACCCGGTTGATTCTGGCTGATCCTGGTTGATCCTGGCTGATCCTGGTTGATCCGGTTGATCCTGCGGCGGTTGATCCCGGTTGCTCCCGGTTGATCCGGTTTGATTGTGGATGATCCCGGTTGATTTCGGTTGGTCTCGGTTGATCCCGGTTGATCCTGCATGATCCTGGTTGATCCGGGTTGATCTCGGTTGATCCCGGTTGGTTCCAGGCTGATTCTGGTTGATCCTGGTTGATCATGGTTGGTCTTGGTCGATCCTGGTTGATCCTGGTTGATCCCGGTTGATCCGGGTTGATCCTGGTTGATCCCGGTTGATCCTGGTTGATCCCAGTTGATCCCAGTTGATCCTGGTTGATCCTGGTTGATCCCGGTTGATCCCGGTTGATCCTGGTTGATCCGGGTTGATCCTGGTTGATCCCGGTTGATGTTGGTTGATCCCGGTTGATGTTGGTTGATCCCGGTTCATCCTGGTTGATCCCGGTTGATCTTGGTTGATCCTGGTTGATCCTGGTTGATCCTGGTTGATCCTGGTTGATCCCAGCCTGGTTGATCCCGGTTGATCCAGGTTGATCCTGGTTGATCCCAGTTGATCCTGGTTGATCCTTGTTGATCCCGGTTGATCCTGGTTGATCCTGGTTGATCCTGGTTGATCCAGGTTGATCCTGGTTGATCCTGGTTGGTCTTGGTTGATCCTGGTTGATCCTGGCTGATCCTGGTTGGTCCAGGTTGATCCTGGTTGATCCTGTTTGATCCTGGTTGATCCTGGTTGATCCCGGGTTGATCCAGGTTGATCCTGGTTGATCCAGGTTGATCCTGGTTGATCCTGGTTGATCCTTGATTCCGGTTGATTCTGGTTGATCCCGGTTGATCGTGGTTTATCCTAGTTGATCCTGGTTGATAATGTTTGATGATGTTTTTCTGTTATCAACGATTATTGATGATTAATATAAACTATTAACAATCAGTATTGATGAGCATTAATGAGTATTGATTAGTATTGATTAGTATTGAGGAGTATTGTTGATGGTTGCTGATGACTGTCTATTTTCGTTGATGGCTCTTGACCATCTTCAATTTCCATGGGCAAATTTTGCAGTGAGGAGTTCCATGTTTGACCTGCCACAGCACGACCTATCGACTAAGGACGCTGAAATTGGTTTGCTAGTTGTAGAGACAATCGAAACTATGTACAAAAGTGCAAAGGCTGGTGTGGTTCAGCCGATTCATGAAACTGCCACGTGAACGCAAGAAAATGCGCAGAGGGTAAGATGATGAACTCATTGGTGGAACATGTGGCTGTGGGTCAAAAGTAAATACCACCAACAATGGCAGACAAACATGTCCAAGAGGAGTCTTTATCTTATGTCAGATGACCCATACCAGTGATACTTCATTAGATGGAACGGTTTCGAAAGTCTGATGCAAGTACTCGTACCCCTGTAATCCCTGGTTTCTTCTACTCCCCGCTTTTGGATTCCATCGTCATGAGCATGGCCCAAGTCTGCAGAACTCTGTATTTGGAGCCAAACGGAGCAAACCTTTGGAGCACGACAACACAATTGATCTCCGTTTTTATTCTACACCCTATGCAAGGTGACGGCACAGGACTCATCAGATTCGTTTCACTTTTTCAATCAAAGGAGAATTAAATATATGTTACAATATGTTTGATGAATTTTGATGATACTTTCAAGAGATCATCAAACTCAGAGACTCACCTCCTGTTCTTTTTTGCTCACACTTGGGATGTGATGCTCCACGCATGCCTGGCCACAGGGGTCCACCTCTCAGGAAATGCTGCGCCATGCTGTGCCACTATTTGATAATGCTGCGAGAGTTTTTTTTTGGGACAACACATGTCGACATGATCTATGTAGCTTTTGTTGAGCCTGCCTTGGAAACCGACGGTAGATGGATTGAAGGTTTGGACATGGCCAATTCCCGTGATTTGTTCAACCTGGAGCTCCCTTGAGGGTGTTGATGACGGAAGAATTCCATGAAATTTTGTGAAATATCCTTCGTCATCATTGATAGTTTCATTCTTTATCAAGGAGACTCACAAAAAGGAATGCAGCTTTATTTCGATGCATTTTGAGTATTATAAAGGATTCCCTTGTTGTATTCGTTCTTGACATCGCCATTGACAGTCAGGGCTCGTTTCGACCTGTTTTCACCCAGGCCTTGGCCTTGCTGTACAAAGCATGGCAGTATAGGGCAGTTCAGGACCTGAAAGATGCTCCACAGGCAGGAAGCCCTGTGTCCCTTCTATGTCCACGACTGTTAGCAATGGACCTAGGAACATAGATGTAACATGGATGCAACAGGTGCTGCTAGGAGTGCTTTCAACTCATTGGTGTGACTCTGTTGACATGCCTTGGTTCTTAGCTATTGAGAAGCAAGTCAGTCGTGTTGCTGCAATTCGACCTTTTTGTGAGCCCCAATGAACATGAATCTCAAACAGTCATCAGTTACAAGGAAATGGCTGACACATACTTGAAAAGTGTGCCAACAGTGGGGGAAGCTGCTTAGGGTAGAAGAAGTATTACAAGGCGTTGCGCGGCAGGTCTTAGGTCAGAGCATGGTCAGAGCAATACATTGCAGTCCACAATGCCATTCTGTTGAGAATCAATACAGTGCCATGGCGGCGTACCCAATCAACTTGGCCAATCCACGTCACTTCCCATTTCGTACAGCTCTAAGATCGGTCTAATTATTGACTTTAATTCTCTTCTTCCTCGTTTTGGTATTTCTGCTAAATCATTACTCAATAAATATAATAACCTTTTACATCATATAATAGTATATATTTTATTTAGTTAATTTATCTTTAAGTAGTTTTTCAAAGAATTCTATATTTTAATCTTCGAATATTTACTGAAAGACTAGTTATTTATATAAGTTTTGATTAGGACGAATTGTATGAAGGATTTGCCTGTTGATGCGTTGTGTAAAATCGTTTCTTGTAAAATTGGAGACCCTAAATATTTGAAAATACAGCATAGTGAAGCATTGAAGAGAATACAGAACAAATATAAACTATCAAGACTTGGTCCTAAAATAACAAGTCATTTGAAATCAAGAAAAAAATATAATTGAATACTGTATCGTGAGAGAGGGAGTGGACATTTAGTTTGAAAAGTATGGAAGACATAATAACAAAAGAACAAGTAGAATTACTATCTTTGATTTATGAAGAAGTAGAATAATATAATTTAAATTCTAGAGTAACTTGATATTGAAGTCCAAATAGTGGCACAACTACCAGAAAAAGAATCTGGTGAAAATGAATTTAGTTTTAGAGAAATTTACTTTATGAATGGCTTTGATGAATATGTAGATGAAGATAATATAGACAAAGTATTAAATAAAGCAGTTGAAGAAATGAAAACCGATATAAGAAGACCAAGATAAAGATAGTATAACAGGAATACAAGCATTTCATTCTATATCAATAATTATTGAAGACATTAACTACTAACATATTTCTCAAAATATATGTTTATTAGAATCGTGGATTTGTAAGATAGGATTATGAAAGGTTAAGGGTTTATCTTTATTGTTGTCTGCCGTTTTGTCTTATATATTGTTCTTTGCCTGTTTGGGGGTGCTTTTTGTTTTTCTTGTTTTGTTTTGGGTATGGAATGGATGGGGTGATGATGTATTGACTGTGATGAATTTTATAAAATGGATAAGGTAGTAGAGAGATTGTAGGTAGTGATGCTTTTGAGAAATGAATGAGATGATGATATAGTTAGTAGTGATGATTTTTGAGAAATGAATGATGAATTGACTGTTATGTTTTTTTAATGAAATGAATGTGGTAAATTTGCTTTTGACTGGTATGATTTTTGAAAAATTGAATGAGGTAATTCTGTTTTTGACTGGTATGATTTTTGAAAAATTGAATGAGGTAATTCTGTCTTTGACTGGTATGTTTTTTGAAAAATTGAATGAGGTAATTCTGTTTTTGACTGGTATGATTTTTGAAAAATTGAATGAGGTAATCATGTTTTTGACTGGTATGATTATTGAAAAATTGAATGAGGTAATTATGTTTTTGACTGGTATGATTTTTGAAAAATTGAATGAGGTAATTATGTTTTGATATTGTTGAGAAAAATGCAGCAACCAACAATGCTAATCAAGGCTTTTTAGACTGTTATGTTTTTTTTTATGAATAAATTTTGAGTTGTTATACTGCTATGATATTAGTTTAGAAAACTTCACTCAATCAACTTTTTTTTACATTTTTTCCCCTGGGGTTCCTGGGGTGCGGTGCAACTGCACAGCAAAACTTACCCCATACACATCATGGTGGTGATCAAGTGCACAGAAGAGTGCATTCGTACTGTACCATCTCAGACCTTTTTGTGTTTAGGTAGCTGCCTTATATCTCTATCATTGTTCTATCATCTATAATCTGAAATGCGCAGACTTGTACCAATCAATGGCAATTCTGAAAGGTGAAAGCTGCACCAAACACGTTTCCATTCGTTGAAGGCATCAGGAGGCTCAAGTTTGGCAGACTGAAGTGCTGTGATGGGCTGCCAGTGGCATGCGTGCAGTGCGGAAATGTTGCATCTGCTGCTATCCTCGGTTGTGGTCCAAAAAAGTTGACGATGGCTTTGCGTCTGAAGCTACGGTGCCTTGGAATGACAATATCTTGCGAGTGTTGGACTGGGGTCTGGGGTCAAACAGAGCCGAAAGGTTCGACTTCAGTCTCTGGAAGTTTCCCAAAGTCTTTCTGAGCTCATTGGTGCCAGATGGTGCCAGATGGTGCCAGATGGTGCCAGATGGTGCCAGATGGTGCCAGATGGTGCCAGATGGTGCCAGATGTGCATCTGAGGTGTTTGGCCACGGCCACGACGGTCACGATGAGCTCGACCTGGAGGATCCAACTCCTTCGTTGGAGACCCAGAGCCAGACCTACAGGTGGGAACGAGGAATCCTTGGGACATCTGGAAATGATGAGATACTTTCAATATCTTACACAAAATCTTACACAAAATCTTACACAATATCATACTGTACAAAGCTTTAAATAACATCAAGCTCAACAGAAGGTCGCTTGTTTGAACTACAACCATCGTCAACCATCTCAATATTGCAGATGAACCTTGAGCAAGGAAGAATAGGGCCACTTCGGCACCGAAGGATCCCAAAGGGAAGAACGAGGTTGCTACATATTACTCCCTAGATTCCTATGATTCCTATATATATATAATATTCCCATGATGTCTTGGGTCTCTCGGCCATTTGTCGTCTCCTGTCAGGTGCGAAGTGGTCCTTCCAGAGACTGTGGTGCAGGAAGGCTGCATGGTCCATGGCTTTCACCTGCCACCTTGGGACGATGACGTGAAGAGCTTGAAGCGCGCTTTGGAGTTTCAACCGCAAGCAGCTCCAGTTAGCTTGAGCAAGATGCAAAAAGCAGCACTCCGTGATTGGTGCAGTATGTCGACCTGGCTGGAAAGACAAGGCAGGGAGCCGCAAGATGATGTAATAATATGTAATAAGATCTAATAATATGATATAATATGATATAATATGCACATAATATGCACAGAATTTCATGATTCACGATGCTGTCAAATGCTTGAAAACTTGGAATTCCTTGAATTTGCTCGAAAGTGTTTAGCCTCGTGAAAACTCCTGCCCCACTGTCTTCACTTGAGGCTACGATGGTGTGGAGCTCACCATCTTTGAAGGTATGCCCAAGGCCAGCAAGATTCGTCAGGGCCGCGTGACGGATTGCTCCCTGATGTCAGTTCTCTCTGTGCTGGCTGACTATGATGATCGCTGTGGCCGATCCACGTTACAGACAATTGTTCAAGGTCGTATAACCAAAAGCTCCAGAAACAGGGCGGATGACTATGCATGTCGCTTATTTGTGAATGGCATTTCGAGATGTGTCCTGGTAGATGATTTAGTCCCGGTGGGTAGCAGTGGAAAGCTACTTTGTGCACATTCAGCCTGTCCTCATGAGCTATGGGTGGTGCTAATCGAGAAGGCTGTGGCGAAGATCATGGGGGGCTCCTACGCGATGCGAGGATCCAACCCCAGCACCGATGCATTTCATCTCACAGGATGGATTCCAGAGACATTCCCATTGAAGGATGAAGAAAGTCTTTGTACCTCTCAAGCAGATTGGCTGAGGATTTTCGACACGGCACAGCAAGGCTTTTGGCAAGGGAAGTGTGTTCTTTGTGTTGGGACCACGGAGCTGCCTGATGCAACCAGCAGTCAACTCGCACTTCAAAGTGGATATTCTGAAGGAGTCAGTTCTTCCACAGGCCTTGTGGCAGGCCACGCCTATCCTGTTCTCCAGTGCTGTTCCGAAGATGGCCTGCGCTTGCTCTATTTGAAGAACCCTTGGGGCCATACACGGTGGAAGGGCCGCTATGCTCCAGGAGATTCACTTTGGAAATCAAATTCAGCACTCGCATCAAAGCTGGGATATGACAGTGAGGCCGCAGCTGCTGTGGATGATGGCGCTTTTTGGATTCCATGGGAGGAAGTGCTGCGTTATTTCAGCCATTTCTATATCTCATGGTCACCCTTGGCGCTTGGCTTGAACCAGCTTCAAGCACACGGCTGTTGGAATCCTTGGCCTCATTTTGTTCAGAGCATTTTGCCAGATGACACAGATATTTTGGCTTTCAATCCACAGTTTCACCTGCGGCTCTTGGGACCTTTGCCTTCCGAAGCCATTGGAAACATTGGAATTTGGGTGGTCCTCAGCAGGCACATTCGGAGCCGCACAGATTACAATTCACATTTTATTTCTGTGAGCATCTACAACGGCAAGACAAGGATCTGTTGTCCCAATTCGGTGCTTGAGCAAGGTGTTTTCTCCAATGGAGAGTGTGCCTTGGTAAAGCTGCACAATGATGCTGCCAGCTCCCAAGATTTCACAGTGGTTGTGTCCCAACACGGTGCAAAGCGAGCCTTCAACTATACACTTCAGGCCTGTGCAGATGATGTCAACATAGTAACATAATGTAACATACATATATCTCAAATAAATGTACAAAGGCTTCAGTGCATTTCAGTGCTATATTGCCTGGCAAGGAAATGTCAGGTGCTCCCATGTGGTAGTAAGCTGTTGTAAGTTTGGTGATGGGCCATCTCCATGGATGCCCAGATGTTGATACAACAGATGCACTCTCCACATGGACAGGTCTACACTGCGGGACCAGCGACGCTGCAAGACTTGCCTCCTCTGGTTCCCAGCAGTTACGCCTCAGGCGCTGTACGCGGGGAGTGGACGCAGCGAACTGCTGGGGGCTGCAGCAACAGTGCGCCTGGGAAGCAATATGTAGTATGACTCTGATATGACCATTATGGCCTACGTATCTCTACGTACATAAATCTAAATGACATAGCCTAGCAGGGCAGCAGGGCCTATCATGATCTTATTTGTATTTGATATATTTCTTCGTTTACCATGGTCTTACTCTTTGGCTGCACACACACAAAAAAAAATCATCTACAGTGACAGTGCAACAGTATCTCTAGAGAGCCAAAGGAGTTTTGCTATGTGCCTCTTGAAGAATGGGTTGCTTCGCTTCGACACTTTAACCTCCGTGGAACCTCCTTAGAACAGCAACTGAGAGCAACTGAGGTATGGTCGTTTTTCCAGAATCCTCAGTGGAGCTTCACGGTGCCACCAGAGGGCTTGCAGGACCGACAGCATCACAGCTGGCACTTTTGTGAGCCGAAAGTGAGACGAAGTGAGCAAGGCATCACCAAAGCTTTTCCATTCCGTTGTTATGTTATATAATATATATATATATATTGTCTGTGGATGCTGATTTGCATCCAATTTCAGTTGAAGCCTCTGATTTGACATGAATCGGCCAATGCCTTTGGAGCAGGAGCTTATTCTGTTCTTGGAATGTCAAGACGTTTCGGTGAATCTCCGCCTGTTTAGCGATGCTGTTGCACGACCAGAAGCTCTCCGTTCAGCCACATCCAGTGGGGCATACCGCAGGGGCTGTTGCATGCTACGCCTGACCGACCTGGAGCCCAATACCTATGTCCTGGTGGTGTCAACTTTTCGCCCCGGGGTGTCTTGGCCTACGAAAATCTTAAGATCTCTGTAGGGAAAGTTCCTATTTTGGAAACCTCTGACTGACTTGACCTTACTTGCTGATCACAGATGCTGATGCTTCAATGCGATCTGAACATGATCCGACAAACATGCCTTGACCTTAATGTATGGACGAACATGCTCGCACAACACTTCAGTACACTGGGTGTGTGAATTTTTCTTTCCACTTCGGAGAAGTATGACAAGGTTGGAGACGTTTAGAGATGCTGAGGTCCGTGGCTCTTATCGTCTTGCCTGGCATGCCTCAAGCAGTGTCACTTTGTCACCACAGCCATATCCCTTCGTAGAAGGTGCTCTGGCACATCCTTTGAAATCTGTGGTGCAAAATGTACACATGGGCTCGATGGTAGAGATGCAACTTCGTTTGGTGGATCAAAGTACATCCACAGGTCAAGCATGTCGCGTCAGTGTCAGATTGCAAGGCACTTACGATGGAGGCCAGGAAGTCCAAAGAGCAGTAGTGCTTTTTGATAACACATAGCTCTACGTAGCTTCAACTTGGAAGTGTTGTCGTAGAACCGCTCTTGACTATCTCAAGGAATCAAGGCAAGGTGTGGGCGATGTGACTTTCATGGGCCTGATGTAGGGTGGTGACTTGTAGGAGTAAGAAGGGAATAGTGCAGGACCGTGCCGGGTTTACAAAGTCAGTCGCGCTGTGCGACTGTTTACGCAATTTTACAAACACTCGCGATGAAGGCGAGATGCCTTACTTGGAGCTGAGCAGCGCACATCCATCGAGACAGGCACCCTACTGTGTTCGTCTAAAGGCCTCAGATGCGGATCAGCCACTTGACGTTGTGAGACATCCAGTTGAAACTTCCTATCACCAAAAAAATGATTGGACAATACACAGGTGGAATGCAAGAGAAGTGAAGATAAAACATCTAAATATTGATGCAAAACATTACATTGAAACTTCAGGCTGATTTAAAGTGCGTGTGAGTGCGTGTTTGCACTAGTGGAAACATGCTGACACAATTCTGGAGCTGAGGTATTTCCAGCTAACAGGCGCTTCAGTCATTCTGTTTGCACAGCTCAAACCCTTGGAGAGCTATGTCCTTCGCACGAAAGTACCACGAAGCAGAGGAGCCAAAAGCGCCAAGCTCTATGTACATTCGGATCGTTTGGTGGTCCTTGATTCCTAGCTGAAATATTTGAATTTTGAGAAAGCACGAGAGCTTTTTTTTGGTTTGGTGCACTTCTTTTCAATGTACTGTGAGAATCTGTGAGACAAAGAAACATTGGGATCTTTGATTCATAATTTGGGTTCATGTCTCACTTGGCCCAGGATAGTTTGATGAGTCCACGTGGGCGAAGGAGGTAACACCTGCAACACCTACACGACTTTGCCATACTTTGCCTCTTAATCAAAATTTCCCGAAGAACCAGGTACACGCAGAAACAGAGGGCAACTTAAAGCACGTGCAATGCACTTGTCATGGTGTCCGTGGTGTCCGTGGTCTGCGAAGGGAGTGAGATGAGGACAGTGCTGCCATCCAGGTACTGCGACAAAGCGCTCCATGAGTCTTTGGATTGCGCACCACGTTCAGGTTTTTGTGCCACTGTCCACAGTGTCCACCCTGGCCTGCAAAGGCAAAGAGTAGAGGAATACTCCTGAGGGCTTGAGGGTAAGATGAAATGTCTGCCACTGGCTGCCACTGGTGCTGATTTCGAGTATTTTCGACTAGACAGGTCACTAAAGGTGACTTCCATGTCTAGTCCAAAAGCAATGTGTGATTTGTTCATGGAATAAAGAGGCGCATGCACAGCTGCATAAGCAAACGCGTGCCAAGTAGATGGAAGCACGCGGTTTTGCGCTCATGGCCACTACCGACAGCTGTCCTGAATTTGTGCTACGCTACATGATGGTCCTGTCCAGGTCATTTTGAGTCAGACATCCATGGCATGCAGAATGCGCAATAGTTTGCAAAAGGGTCTTTGCCGTGCAAGGAAAGCTGCATCCTGCGGCAGAGATGCGGCAGATTGTGGGCCTTGAGAAACCTGCATACCAAACCCACAGAAATGACACAGCAGGCAGAGGCGGACGCAAAATGCCCCGGCTGCGGTCTCCAAGTTGCCGATTTGAGGTTGGGGTCAGTGAAACAGTGGCAAACTGAGCATTGAAACAGCTGTGTTGGACTTGAGTGACTGAAGGGTTTTGGCGATTTCAGCTCACTGATTGTACCCGAAACGGGACCTTTGAAGAAGCCAATCCTTTCCACTTCCTCGGAGTCTCTGAAGTCACAGGCGCCATATGAAGAGATGCTGCCCAGAGAAGCTTCCGGAGAGACTCGCGCCTGCTGAGGACATTGCTTGGTTTATCAAGATGGGAAACGATGGGAAACATACTTATCTTATCATCTTCCGCCTCAGTTCAGTGAATGGAAATGACTGGAATGCTACGGATTGTTTCCAGTTGTAAGGTTTGGTTGCATAGCACAAGATTTAGGACAACATGTTCGGTTTGCCAATTCCCAGGAGCGTCGTGTAGCTCGAAAGGCAGCAAGCGAAGAGGACCATTCGTCCAGCAGATGCCTTAAAGGCATAGCCCTGCAGGTGTCACATCATATATATATATTAATATATATATATACATAATATATATATATAGCCATAGCTGCCATAGCCTATTCAAATAGCCATAGCATGCCGTAACATTGTGGAAGGAATGTTCAGTAAAATGTTCAATTTCAATCTTCATTCGGCAGATCTGGCAGGATTGGATCAGTGAAGAAGAGGCAGCTTGGCCTCCTGAGCAGTCGACAGACGCTTCTGTTATGCTTTTGCTTCACTGGGCATTTCACGAAGATGCAAGAAGTATCAGAATCAGAATTTGTTCCTTTTGATATCTTTTGATATCATTAATGATATCATTTGATATCAGATCATTAATGCTTGGTTCTCACGTGACCCGGTTCGGTTTGCCACACGTGAGAATGTTCTCATTTGCCAAAACTGAGTAAAGCTCTCCAGGTCAAAGAAGCGGCATTGAAATCGTTTTCTCGCGTGGAGGCACCCAGATGCACAACTCTCTGAATAGACTGACCTCTGTGTTTCTGTGTGGGTGATTATCAGCGGATTCCCTGCAGAGAATAAGCGTTTCTCTTCTGAAAGTTTTCCGTTTGTCAAAAGTAAACTCAGAGTGTGCTGTGTTTAAGTGCTTATTTCTGCTCATGTTGTTTTTATGTTCCGAATATTTTGTCGTTTTTTTTCTGATTGTGGGTGTTTTCCAACATTTCGCAGACGGCCCAGCTCCTCGAAATTTCTCCTGTCAGGATCCACTCCTTCGCCGCGTCCTGGAGCTTCGATTTGGTGCTGACCAAGGACAAGATCTTGGAAGATAATGCCTGCGCGAATGATATAGAATAATGATAATATATATATATAATATATATATAATATATTGATGATATATTATATTAATAATGATGTACTGATATGATATATATTATAATGATATAGAAAATAATGAGAATAACTATTAATGATAGGTTGATATAGATTGTATATAGGACTTGAGAGGCTTCATGAAAGTTTTTGGACTATCATGAACGAAGATAGCACACAACTTGCAGCACCCAAAGCCAATAGATACTCAATAGATCTGTGCAGTCAGTAGGGCCTAGCTTCAGCTTCAAGTTTTGTCTATTTCACACCAAGTCTCTGACCAAATCACAAACCCTGGTCGAACCCGGAAGAAACTGATAGTCTTAGTATGTTTTAGATATGTTCAAACAGGGGTTGAATAGTCCAGAGAATCTCGCCAGTCGCCGCAATGTGATACATCTTGATTTCATGAGCTGGGGCTGGGCATTGCAACGAGCGCATGGCTGCAATTTTGTAATGGCAGGTGCCAACCCCAAACAAGTAAGTGAAATCATTGCATTTTCTGTCTTTGATTTTGGTTTACCACTTCTTCATTGCGTTTGCTGGTGTGAATCTCAGCTCTCTGGAGCCTGAATCGATGGGAACAACCCAATCAGCACAGGAATGTCATGTGCCCTGACCCCATGACAAATCAGACATGGTGATTTTTGCTTGATTTTTACACCAGGACTGGGTGTAATCTGAGGGTGTAATACCAAAAGTTCCTGATACATACGTCAATATTAATATGATGTCAATATGTACAGTATGTGTTTTAGTTCAAATTGTTCAATGTCAGGTCTGTTAGGGCTGGTGTTTTTTTCAAAGGTCCTGCCTTTCAGCACACCGGGCGCAGGCGGCCTCCGCAGAAGCCCTGCAGAGGTGGCTGAAGCCTTGGGCGGCAAATACCGTGGAAAGGCGGAGGTCGGCGGAGATTCGTTTGAACAGTTGGAGGGTTCCAATCCATGGATGTACCCCAAAATCAATCAAAATCATCCATTTATAGATGGATTTTGATGGATTTTCCGATTTTAAACCATCCATTTTTTGGTATCTCCATTTTAAGAAACCTGAGTTGATCACCAAAAGTTGATCGCCAAACAGAACAGACACCAGATGATAACAGATCTGATGGTGGGTGGTTTGTATGGCTGGACCAAAAGAAAAACCAGGAAAAATCGATGCTCCAGGGCTACACTGGCTACCGGTCGAGCTTTTCTTGCATCGTCTCGATTCCAAGCTGCTGGAAAACGGTCCTGCTATATACTATATATACTATATATGTTAATTACATTTACTATGCGATAATTGGCAGTCATACAATACATGGTTCCTTGGCAGGGCCTCAGTTGGTTGTTGGTGGTTGATATTTGTTTGTGACGCGCTTTGTTTGAAAAGGACAAACAGGTTACAGCAGCTGGAGCTGCAGACATATTGAATTTCACATCACCTCAAGCCTGTAAGCCAGAGCCATGGATGAAGCCGTTCAGCGGATTGCAAAAGGACAAGACAACATCAATGAATTTGAGCACAACCATCATGGTCTTGGAGCGTGTGTTGGGAAACATGTCCTGATTCTTGATGATGCAAAGGGGTCTTGATCTATTTTGGGACAATCTCAATCTGCAAACAGGAGGGGGCACCTGGGCCGATGTGGAAGAAGCAGCTGCTGGCGGTTGGCAGAAGTCGCGAGCTTTGTTGTTTGAGTAGTAAGTGTACAAAGGTGGCTGGTCCTTGGATCTTTTGTATCCATGCCGTTTTCTTTTCCTGATGGATTTGAACCCTTCGATACTCTTCCTTACCCTTCCATTTGCATGATACTTGATCTTTTTGGTTGAAATTCGACTACAATGGCATACCATGGCTTCTTTTTGCAAGGCAAGCAATCACTGCTATGCTTCAAGCACTGGCTGACGGCCACGCACAGGCAGCAGACCTTCTATTTTACTGGGGAGTAGCTCCAGATGTGGGCCTGACAAAGGCCGACGCTCCAAAGCCGGGCGAAATGCATATTCTGATCTTGGGATGGGGCGGGTCGACATGCAGCCAGTTGGAGGTAGTTCAGAAATGGTGGCAAGGACGAGGCTTCCCCACTTTCACCACCACGTTTTGCAGCAAGATGATTGAGAAACAGCTCTGTGACATCAAGGAATTTTTGCCTACTGGAGCCGATGTCCTGATCCATGCCTTCTCAAACAATGGCATATATTTGCTGCAGTCTCTCTGTCGAGATCCTGAACGATCATGGCGCTTGGCAGGTGTTATCGTGGACTCAGCACCGGATGTAAATATCAGTCCTACACTCATGAGGCAAGTGGTCAATGGATGCATTCGAGCACTCTGTGCCTCAGCCCATAGGACTGCGTACAGCTGTTCAGTGTTTTTTTTCAGATTTGTCTTTTCATTCAGATTCTAGGCTTAGAGTTAGAATATGTTAGAATGACATAGAAACACGAATGAGGATCTGGGAATCCCCATTGACACTTTACTCCATTCTTCGCTGTGATTTGAGGCCTTTTTAACCGCATCACTATTGAGAAGAAGGCAGAAGCCGTGCTCACGGATTTGAACGTTGTTGGCCCATTGCGCGTTGGTGACTGCATCAGCTTTTCAGCAGAACAACCCCCTGTGGTGAGTGCAGCGAGCGGCGAGCCACGTGGTGTGCTTTTGACCACCAAAGGCTCGGGCGAAGGAATGTCCAACCTGAAGGAATGCCACATGTGCTAGTTTACTAGTTACAGCACATATCTAATTACTCTTAAGATCTCCTAATTTGATCCCTTGGGACGAAAATAGGTGCCCGGCGTACTGCAAATAGTGCTCTGCATGATTGGATGGTAGCAGAGTCTGGTGATGGCTGGTGCATGGTATGGTGTGTTGGCCCCCTCTACGCAGTGCTTGGCATGGACATGCATGGACAATGTCACGCTTATGCATTGTGTGACAACTGATAACGCTCTCACACCGTATCCCTGCACAACCATCACCCGGTATCACATTACAGAGCTCAAGCACTTTCAAGCACTCTCATTTCAGCGTTTTGGCTGTGAAGTCGTAATGTCTTGAAGTTTTCCCAGTATGTGCAGTCAACAAATGCGCCTGCAACAGGCGTGATTTCCAAGCAAGATGAGGAGGCCAGGGTATTTGCAGAGGGGGATATGTTGCGAATTGGATCCCAGTCCAAGAAGAAAACGAGCGAAGAATACCGTTAGGTTACCATATGGCTACCATTGGAGACCCATGTAAGCAAAGGATATGCGAAGGATATGCAAAGGATATGCGAAGGATACACAGTGTGCTCTGCCTTCAGTGCCTTCAGTGCCTTCAGGCGATCTCCGGATTCTTGGATCGACCGCTGCAGGGCAAGGATTTGCATCAGTTGAAGAGTTTTCAAGTCTCAAAGGCAGGATATGGCAGGATGTTCCGACATTTTGGAGCATTTGGAGCTGCCCAACCAATTGTTTGAGTGTGTTTGAGTTATTTGGTGCCCTCTGTCAGAGCCAATAAAGAATATTAAAGAGTAAAGTTAAAAAACCAGTGAGAAGCATGACATGTAAACATGTAAGCTTTGCAAGCAAAATTCCCAAATCCGTGCAACAGTTTAAGTGTCTCATGTTTCGTGCGATGACAGAGGTGGAGATTGAGGAAATCTCAGACTTTCTGGCCAAAGAAGAAGCTCCTTTGCTCTTTCTATATTCTTCCTCTGATACCCTCATCAAGCCCGCTGCAGTGGAGGAGTACATCAAGACCTGCACCCGCAACAAGCTGAGTTTTCAATATGCACCAGCAGTATCCAGCAGTTTGATGCAGTATGTTTATGTTCCATCTTGTCCGTTATTTTACATCTGTTGGGCTATGATCCAACCAATGACTTGTTTTTCGATTCAATATTATTCAATTTGGACTCCCCTAGTCTATGAGGCGAAGGGCAAGCGAGCAGCAAACGCTTCGCGGGATCACAGCACGTGCGTCACTTCCAGAAGCATTTCGAATCTGGGACGCAAAGACACCCAAGCTTTGCACAGATGGAGATGATTGGATGAAAAGGCATAAAAATATAAAAAGGCAGCATGGCCAGGTAGTGAGCTTCAGATACACAATCCACATCACCCATTCGTGCCTAAACCTGGACATGCTCTCCGCTGCTCCCTGACCCACACAACCACGCCCAACCATTAGTGCTCAGGACGAATATGCTGCTGAATTGATTGCTTTCACGGAGCGTTGTAGAGACCGCAGTGATGCTGCGAGTGAAAAAGCGTTGAGCCACTGGTGTTAGGAACAACTAGATTGAGTGATTGAGTAGCAAAAAATTGACAAGTTGGATCCGAGAGTCGAGGACATCTTTAAGCATTTTAAACCTTTTAAACTCTAAATTTGTGCCCTGCAATGCTTCGACTGTATGCTGACAATGCTCGGCCAGACTGCGCTGATGCTGATCCGTCAAGCTTTGCGAAGTATTCCCTTGGTTGCGGACGACCCAAAGGAGACTTGTGGAGTCGTTCCCATCAGTTGCATTCAATTGCAATCGTACTATGTCATGATTGTATATGATTGTCATGTTGTATACCAAATCCTTCACCGTGACTTGTCCGCACCCTTTGTCTACACGCTCAGCTACTGATGATTTGGTGATATTTTGGGCAGGATTTGGTCGTAGTCTACGAGGCTTGTGCGGGCATCGATGCCAATGCTCGCAACAACAGATGGCTGGTGTGTGCTCATGTTTCATTTGGACATTTCCAAGCTTGAAACATCCAGCAACCATATATTATTACTGTATAAATACTGTATATATATATATATGCATAATACATCATAATACAGATTAATACTGTAATATACAGTATATAATACATATATTACATACCATTACAGCTGTTAACTAGATGTTTGTAGCATAAAGATGCATCAAGTGTGGTTCCAGTTCGCAGAGCTCCATCCTATCTTTCTCAAGGACATTGAGAAAGTGATGGGAGCAGTCAGGAATAGGAGGCATATGGAGGCATCATGTGGCATCAGTGTGGAGGAAGACATTGACCTAGCAGGATGAAGACTTGCTTGCCGTCTCAAAACCACCCTTTTTACGAGTCACTCCAGTGCACAGGCAGGGCTGAAGCAGTGCCATAAAAAAACATGCCATTTGAGATTTATTCTGATTAATTCAATTAAGAAAGAATGGTGTGGTGGACTCCAGGTTCGTTGGTAAGTCGTTGACCAACCAGGCAGGACACCCAACAAGAATGTTGCTTCATGGATGGATTTTGAGACTGACACCAGAGTGCTCTTCAACTCACTTGCAGCGAACCGGCGAAGCGGAAAGAATGGCTCTAGAGACTCTAGTGACTGCTACGATTCGAGTAAATTATGGTTGCAGTGTGACTCATCCGGCATCATGGCAGTTTGGTGGAAAGTGCTGCACATTTTGGTTGGAATCCCAAGGTACTTGGCTACCTCCAAGCAAAGTATGGTGAAGGGTTCAGAACTTGGAAGTGCAGAGGGCCACAAAAACGACAAAGGCCTTTGAAGTTCAACAAAGTTCCGCAACTGCGAAGACAGATGCTGATCTGCTTTCAGTGCTGCCTTGGTTCAATTCTCAACAATTGCACGGCAATGGTCTGAGATATGACTCTGCGATGGTCTTGCACCGTTTGGTTTGGGTTCTCAGAGTACAAAGTGCGGGAAGCTTGAGACAGTTGAAGCTTCAAGCCAGTATGTCATAGTATGTTGATGTCTGTTATATGATGTTTTCTCATGTTTTATCTATTCCTTAGCATTCGATGCTTGCTACAAAAACTACCAAAAACTTGCACTTTAGTGTTGCGCTGTCGCATTTAACATGAGTTCTCGGAACATCCGGCTTGCGCACGATCATTGGCGGCAAAGGACCAAACCACCAGCGGACTGGTCCTATGCGCCAAGAACAAGGACCAGAATGATCCAGTGATTCTTGCACTGGAGTAGCCGGTTGTAGCCGGTCGTAGCCGGTAGTAAAGGTGACAAAGGGCAAATGGCAAAGATATGTCTATCCCCCTAGGAAGGATTCATATAGCTGGCGGCAGATGCAATCTGGGCAAGCAGAGCCAACATCCAGACGGTTGGTGAATGTTGAAAGCGTGCGAGATGCTTTGGAGTAACACTCCAACGCTGGATTTGCCTGCCAGGAGGCTGCTCGAATCTGCGGGGTGAGACGCTCAATTCTCTCCAGCAATGTCCCGCATATCTCTTGCATCAAGATTTTGGGCCGATTTGACTGAGGAACGTTGGCACGATGATGCATGCAAGAAGGACCGAGGAAGCAGCTATGACACAGCCGTCATTACTATGCTGTAGCACCATGCAGATCATGCAGATCATCCAGGAGTATTTGGCCATTGCTTTGCCTCACGGGCCCAGTCGGTTGAACAACATCGGCGATACCTTGGTGGCCAGCCTGCTGACAGCTGAATTTCCACAGCAGCCAATCATCCAATTTTTGGGGATGCTGAGTTGCTGTGATGTTTCATGATGTTTTGTTTTCTGGAGCTCCTGGGGTGTTCGGACTCGCCTGATGACTATGACTGGCTCCGAAAGCTCCCTTGAGCACATTTTTCATTTAGGATAGCGCCAATGAACAATCAGATCAATCAGACCTTGGGAGACTCTTCACATTCAGAGGGGGTTAAGCCGGTTAAGCATACTTTGAAATCTGAATACTGCAAGTTCAGTGGTCAGTGGCTAAGTCCATTCAGCACAAATGTGCATGGTGTGAAGAACAAGCTAGATGCCCGCATCAAGAATGTGCGACGTGTGCTTTAGTTTCATTCAGATGCGCCCTTACCAGCCCACATGGCGAGTGCTTCGGACAACGGCTCACCATGCTCGGGCATACCATGGCAGACCCATCGGGTCACAGGCACGTGTTCTTTCACTACCATTGCCAACCTCTGCAGTGGCAAAGGATATAGAACTCATGTGGACACAAAGTCAACTATGACAAGTCCTCATATGATAACTACATTGTAATTGATGACAATTGATGATAAGATACAACTTCATAATGTTTTAAAGATCATCATAGACATTTACGCAGTTTCACACATATTTTCACACCAGATTTAATGAATTTCAACTGTCAGGTGGGTCGGTGGCGAAGGTCGGCCTTGGCGTGCACCGTGGCACTCTGGCGGCACCAACGGTGCCCAAGTCGTGCAGCTGGACACGCCGTGGTGACCGAAGTCGAGACCGTGGAGGTAGGGATGGGTAGGGAAGAAGAGTTTCTATGATTTTCTATTCAAAAAATTGAAAACAACTGCATATTAATTATAAATGGGCTAACGCCCTGGTGCCGCCGACCCCCTTTCAGGGGTGGAGGAAGGAAAGCACATGACCCTGACAGGGGTTCTAACCATCAATGGGAGTTGATGGCATTTGGTTGACCACATTGTAGCAATCCCCCAAGAGATACCATAGCGACATCTTAAAATATTGATTGGATTATGATTATGATACATTGTCAGACATTCTCCGTTGTTTGCAGGCTATAATGTTTTGCGACGTAAAAAAATACTTTACTTTGTGTGATCCCCACCATGACTTATAGATTTTCTTACTGGCAAATCTTCTGGCATTCTATCTGATATATCTTCTAGCTTCTATCTGGCATTCTATCTGGCATATCTTCTGGCATATCTTCTGGCATTCTATCTGGCAAATATTCTGGCATTCTATCTGGCATACCTTCTGGCATTCTATCTGGCATATCTTCTGGCATATCTTCTGGCATTCTATCTGGCATTCTATCTGGCATTCTATCTGGCATATCTTCTGGCATATATTCTGACATATCTTCTGGCATTCTATCTGGCATTCGATCTGACATATCTTCTGGGCCATAGGGCCAAGGTATCATGAACGTTCATAAAAAGACGCTGCCAGGGCCTCAGGGACTTGTTGGAGCTGCAGGAAAGGTCTGCCGCGGCCTGAGTGGCGCCTGGGAGCTTCAGGGGAGGGTTTGGCGAGTTTTGCGGGCTGGCAAACGGCAGCCTTGAACGTCCTTAAAAGGACACTGCCAGGGCCTCAGGGACTTGTTGGAGCTGCAGGAAAGGTCTGCCGCGGCCTGAGTGGCGCCTGGGAGCTGCAGGGGAGGGTTTGGGGAGTTTTGCGGGCTGGCAAACGGCAGCCTTGAACGTCCATAAAAGGACACTGCCACGGCCTCAGGGACTTGTTAGAGCTGCAGGAAAGGTCTGCCGCGGCCTGAGTGGCGCCTGGGAGCTGCAGGGGAGGGTTTGGGGAGTTTTGCGGGCTGGCAAACGGCAGCCTTGAACATCCTTAAAAGGACACTGCCACGGCCTCAGGGACTTGTTAGAGCTGCAGGAAAGGTCTGCCGCGGCCTGAGTGGCGCCTGGGAGCTGCAGGGGAGGG